ATTGCGCTGGGCGTTGACTGATTGCACTGGGCGCTGATTGACTGCACTGGGCGCTGACTGCACCGCGATGGTGGCGGACTCGCGCCGAAATGCTGGTGGGGGACTCGGACCCAAGTGCGGGGGGGGAACTCTAGCGGACGCACCCCAGATAGGGAGCGCACCTCTGGATGCGACGCACCTCAGGTTGCAGCGCACCACAGGTTGCAGCGCACCACAGGTTGCAGCCGGCGCACCATGAATGACCCGAACGGCTCGCTGGCGCAGCAGTACGAAAAGCTCCAAGCGAGCCTGCCGCCGTCGATGAGGATAATCCAGCCCTGGGCCGCGGAAGGGAAGACCGAGCCCGGGGGGGCCGACGCTGCTTCCTTCCCGGCGCAATACCAGTGCACGGTAATCAAGGAAGAAGACAGCGACGGCATCTCCATCTCAAGCGAGAGCGTCCGTCTCGGTAGCGGCAATGTCGTCAAGTCGGTCGTCTGGGACGCGGAAGCCGGCAAAATGTGGACCGACCCCGAGGAGTACCAGCGCCACATGACTCACCTCATCAATGACCGAAGCCGCCAGACTCAGTCGGCCAAGAAGTACCTTTTCAGTACGTTCCCTCCTCCCCTCACCCGTCACTTGATCTCACGTGTGCACTGACACATGCGCTTACACAGTATCTTTTGTTTAGAGGAGGACATGTTTGACTTGGTGATGCCGTCTGGGTTGTCTTTGGGTGAGGCGGGTGAGTTGCTGGAGAGTTGCGAGGGCGAGTTGCAAGTAGTGGAAAAGGTGGTATTGTCAGTGGAGGACGAGGGGTTGTTCCGCGTGCGTGAAGAGACGATCGAGCCGTACTTTGCCGGGCAGTTGGGATGGACTAGCGGCCAAGAGTGTTTAGGCGACTCGTCCGTTACAGGAAAGGGTGAATGCGGACGGCGGTTCAGCGTGGACCAGGAGACGTTGATGCAGATGGACCCGAGTGACCGGGCAGTTGTCACGGACATGGTGGCGGTGGTGACAGCAGTGCAGCAGCGACGACTTGCGATCGAGCGCAATCGGCGTCGACTTCACGTGTTGATTGAAGACGGCATTAAGAGCGTGGAACTCTACAGCGCTTATCTCAACGCACTCCGTGCGTACGATTCGTTTCTGCTGGCACGCGCTGCGCCACGTTGGGGTGAGGCCTCCTCACCCGCGCTCGCGCTGGCCCTCGCGAACGCCGAACACGACGTCAAACATGACCGTGACGTCAAACATGACGTCGAACATGACGTCGAACAGGACGTCGAACACAGCGTCAGTAGCGACGAAGACACCAACCTCGTCACCAACGACCTTCTGGCTCGCGTAGATAATGTCTTTAATCATGACCTACCTCCTCTCGCCGGCCGACTCATGACCACTGTTCCGGCCAACTCATGTCCGGTCGGTCCTCAAGACGGTGATCTAAACAGTTCTGCTCAAGATCGCTGGTCATCTGGGTCTCTGCACACATCCATTCTAACAGGGTCAGACAGTTTGGCGGCATTGAGGAACTACCGACGTGTTATCCTTCGGACATGTGTGAATAGTTTGATGGCGAAGCGTCATGAGATCTTCGGATTGTCTACCATCTTAAATGAGTCTCGAATTTGGTCTGAAGACCTGCTCGAACGCGCTGTAAAACTGGAAAAATTAATTCAGAGCACGGTTGATGAACTCATACAAGGACCTTTCCCACTTTTACCAGTAGCACCACCCGTCATTACCGACTGGCTGAATGAAACTGAACAGGCAGCACACACGTGTGCTACCGTCAGTTACATTCTAACAACCAAGGCCAAACTACATCCCAAAGCTCTTAACCATGCCGAAACACCCTCAAGGAATAATTGGGTTCTTGGCATACCCCTCTTTGAAAGTTTCCTTGTTGAAGACTCAAGCAGCGCCACCGATTCCGACCAAAATTGATGGCGAAGTCTGTCTGTATCGGAGCCCAAGACTGGTTGGCTGGATTGGTATGGAACTAGTTATGAGTCGGTATGGGAATGTGTCGTTCTAGGTTTTCGATCCACTTCGTACTTCTGAAGTGTTTCAAACTTGTCAGTGGTGGGTAGAGGGGGAGGTGGCAGGTTACCACGCCTTTTTGGAATTTTTAGTTTTGACGCTGCAGCGCGGCTTAGGGTGAAAAAGGTGGTTTTGAAAAACGTATGCTAAGGGGCACACACACGGTGGAAAAGTATCGTCGAAAGTTAGTATGAAGACCTGTGCTTTGATTGCCTCCGCTGTTGCAGTTGCTCAGCCAGCCTTGGAGTTGGAGTATGGTGCTTTCGCTCCGGCTGCTTTCGCTCCGGCCTTTGCTCCTAGCTTCGACGACCGGCGCGCGTATGGCACCACTGACCGCACGTTCCGCGACCAGTACATGAACGAGCGCCTCTTGAAGGACGACAGGTCGACTGTGAACTCTCCCCGCGCATGGCCGACTTCTCAGACGTTGGGCCTGCCCGCAGTTGGCCAGCCGACCATCACCTTGGCTGATGCGCCCACTTTGTTCCCTGCGTACAGCAGCCCCTTGACCACAAGTCAATTCGGCGCAACTCAGTTGGGCACTCAACTTGGTCCTCAACTCGGCACCCAGTTGGGCACTACCCAGCTTGGCAACCCGCTCGCATACGGCCCCGCTTTTGGTATCGGCGGACCCGCCGTCGGTGTGGGAGCCCCCGGTATGGGCTATGCCCCTGTGGACTTGGGTGCTCGTCGTGGCAACAAACTTGACATCACAAACACCGACAACTACAACGACAAAGTCGCCGCTCAGATTGGAGCGCTCGAGAAGATGAACCACGCACGTGCTTCTGGACCTCAGTACAACACTCGTGACAACCTTACTCCCACCTCCATCACTACCGAACGCAACTTCGTCGGACCCCGAGCCCGCTCCGACGACATCTTCAGAACAGGCGGCGCCGCCAACTACCGTGACACCGGCAACTACGCCAACAGGGCCAACCGCGCATCTGCCAGGTCCTTCGACCCCATCTATTATTAAACACACGCGTGTCCAACCACTCCTTTTAACTAACACAACATCAACCAGACACTCCTAATTAGTTAATAATTCGCAACTACATGCGCTGCGTGTACATACACGTACTCCGCATCCGTACTTAATCTTGTTGGACCATAGACGTACTAAATAGGGTCACAATATTCGTGGAACAAACAGAATGATTCAGGTTCAAAACCAGGTGTTGAATATACCTAGGTGTTGAATAATCAATCAAGGTGACATGACAGACAGGGTCATCCGCGTTCTATCGGGTTTGGGCTGTATCCAACTACAGATAACGACGACGCTATTTTATTTGATCTGTGCTGCCACATGGATCCACACCTGGTTGACGACCACGGACGACTGGCTAGGTGCACGGTCCGGAGCGGATGTCCCAGAGGCGGTGATGCGAGCGAGTGCGAGAGGAGATCTGGGTGGCGTTTCGTGGCAAGCCAAAATGGACGAGTGTTGAAAAAGGGGAGAGGTGGTGTGGGTGCTGTGTGACACTAATGCAGCGACGCAGCGACGCCTCGAGGAAAAGCGTTGTCGGAAAACTAGTTGCAGGAACTAACACACGTTGTGGAAAACAGAAGTGAGCGATAGATGAAGTCTGTGGCATTCTTGAGCGGTGTTGCCCTGGCTGGTAGCAAGGTGGTGGCTGAGCCGATTGTGGCTTTCGATGGCTTGTATGGCCCTGCTCCTTACACCGCTGCCATCGGTGGTGTGTATCCGGAGATGTACCCCAACTACTCCAACTATCTCCGCGGCGGTTATAGCGGCAAGGCGTGGAAGAGAGGCTATGGTTTCGCCCCTGCTGCGGTGGCTGCTGCCCCCATTGCTGTGGCCGCGGCTCCTGTGTTCCCGCCCATGGTCGAAGTCGCACGCCCCCTTGAACTGACCGCCAGACCCGCCATTGAGATCGCGCGTCCCCTCGAATTCGCCACCAGACCCTATGACTGGACCGGCCGTCGCACTCTTGAACTCGCCCCTGCGCGCTTCGACCTTGACTACCCCCCTGCCCGTGCCGCTCTTGATTTCGCCACCTTCGCACGCAGACTCGGTGAGGACGAGGAGGCCGCCGTGGAACCCGCCGTTGCTGTCGAAACCGCCACTGCTGAGGAACCCACCGCCGAGAAGAGACAACTTACCGCTCTCGAAGTCGACCAAGGCTACAAGGGCTATGCTGGCTACGGTGGTTATGCTGGTGGCTATGGCGGATACGGACCCGGCTTCGGCTACGGCGGACTCGTCGGCTACCCCAGACCCTACCCTCTCCCATACCCCGCTCCTGGCATCGGACTCGGTGGCTGGTGGTAGAGCACGAGCTGCAATTCGCCACGCTCACTCAATTAAGTAGTTCCTTTTCAATCGCAACCCATCACCCTTGATCTTAATCCCACATTAATGCACCTGTCCTCTCATCTGACCGAGTAACTCTGAACCAAAAGCTCGCTGGTTCGAATCCCGACGACGCCCATCGGCTACTTCCCCCCCTTGAACCAACGTCAACGTTCCCTCAATAATGCACCCTCGAAATACAGGCACACAAGGTGTGTTTTTTTTGGTCGTTGTTGGGTAAAAAACTACCTCCAACCTTGATCTTCTAGCAACAGCACGACGGTACATGCTGTCCTTGGACGAACATGTTGGTAGCTCGGGGCTGGGACTATTTGTCCCAGAGCACGGACCGCATCAGTCCAATGCAGCCCGTGCATCGTACCCCGTACTCAGTACGGGGTCTCGATTCTCTCGATCGGTGAGAGAAATCTTACCGATCTGCTGTGCTGCGCTGTGCTGTGGCACAGCACAGAACAGCACAGTGCGTCCCGGCAACGGCTGGTCAACAGCCAACTGCCCGGGGACGTGCGGGCCCACACGTGAGATGCTCACGTCTGAGTCCGTAAGGAACACCTAGCGGAAGCCGCAGGGTGCCCCCAATTGCTGCGTCGCGGTAACCGCGCCGCAACAAGAGCCTGCTTCCGTGCCGTACGCACGGAAGCCTGGCAGGAGCGCGTAGCACGTTGTGTTAACGTACGCTGCGCTTGTAGTAGGTTCTGGTCACAAGGCTCTACCCTGACCCGGTGACGTTTTCCTAAATCGAAAAAACTCGAAGGCTGCGTTGAGACATAACAGATAACTCGATTCAATAAAGTGTCAGACGTAGTTCGACGTGGTCTACGTCACGAAGGATAACTTGTCGACGAAGGGGGGGGGGCACATACGCCGCCAAAAGGACTCGGTCATGGCCTACAGCGTAACCCAATTCTCTTGACAACATGTTCTTGACTATAATCCTATGATGTATTCGATGATGCATATGAATCCTGGGTGCGTCTTGGTAAACATAAATTGAGGTCATACGTGAAGTGAAACTTTCCATGAGTTTCTCAAGGAGAGCTACCCGGCAGGACAATAGAGAGCTAGCTAGCTAGGAGGCATTTCGTGGAGAAGTTATCGGGAGGACGCCTGCGTGTGCGGTGCGCCCGTGTGTAGCACCCACGTTTCCAGATTCGTACCCCCCGTTTCGAACCAGGCCGGTTCGAGTGGAGGAGAAGGTTCGAGTGGAGGAGAAGGTTCGAGTGGCTTCTTCATCTTTCAAGGCTGGCTGGATCCTTTGGAGCCAGTACAGCCACTTGGGCGTGTTGGCACGGACGCGTTGCGTCCAGTTGGCGATCCAGGTCATGGAGTCTGAAAATGTGCGACACGCAAAATGGCGAGCAAGGATGTCAATGAACAGTTGCTCGTAAGGAGGGGGGCGGGGGACGTCCACACAAATCGGCCGGGTGCGAACGCGGCGGTTGACACAAGTGTGTGGTGCCCACACATTCATGTTTGTGGTGACCCCACGCACCCACCCATGTGTGTGGTGCCAGACATTGGTGTAACAAGCTAATATGCGATTGTTTTTTAGGACGTGATGGCGTACGTGGCCGCGCCGTTGGCTAGCCAGACGATTTTAGGTGCAGTGCGTGAGTTGGAGCCGCGCGATTTTACTTTGGATATGTTGGCAGACGAGTTATCATTCTTTACTACGTTCACGACGGAAGGCCTGCGTGCGTTCATTGACTCATTGGAGTTTTTGAGAGAGTGTGGATCACCGTCTGGATCCCCTTTGGCGGGGTTGACTCCGACGACAGTGGCTGGGTCGGAGGTATTGTTACCACCTACCCGAGTGGACGACCGTTCTAGGATCTCGTTGTTGGGTTATCTATTACCCTTCTTCATTCGACGATTGACCCGATTGGCAGGCGAATTGACTACGTTAGTGGACGGCGTAAGGAGCCAGGAGTTAGGTGGTGATATGACTCCGGAAGTAACAGACGAGCTGCGTCGACTGATTCAAATGGTTAACGACAACGTGCGACCAGCAGACCCAAGTCTCACGAACGTCTTGGATATGACGCGTGGGGTCCCTTGGGACATGCCTGACATCCACCAAAAAAAAGCGCTTAAATGGAACCAGAACGCATCAGAAATTGATGCGGCTGGAAACAAGGCACAGAAACCTGTTCGCTCCACTTCCGAGTATGGCGGCCGTCGTCAACAGAGAAACCCCACGGGGTTCCTCAAATTCAACATCGCAGACCTCGGCCTCGACGACGACTCCGAGGACTTCGGCGGCTTAGCATCGGGTAGTCCCACTCGTATCCCAGATGGACGCACCACTGACGCTCCCAGACGCGCCAGTGCCACTGACGGCGAACACGCACTCAAGCGTCAACACTCGTCCTTCGACGACCGCACAGTTGAAATTGAAGACTCCGTTTCAGACCCCCACTGGCACGACGCACAACGCGCCTCAGTTCGAGAAGTACGCGTTCGCAAAAGGATACCCACGGGCCACCCCAACATGATGGCCACTGCACTCCTCGCCCGCAAGTCCCTCGAAATGGATTCTGATGAAGACAACGAAGACCTCGCCACCAACACCGCTCTTAACGCCAAATAGTTCAACTCTGACAACTCGCAAATAAGTAGGCGCAAATACCAACCTCAACGTGGGG